CTTTATGACCTTGGATTAGGTAATGATTTCCTAGATATGATACCAAAGCACAAGCAACCTAAGAAAAAAATAGATAAATTGGACTTTTGTTCTTCAAAGTATACTAAAATAAAAAATAATAACAAATTTGACAAGGCTTTGTAAAAATTAGAACAGTCATACATTGCTGGTAGAATGTAAAATGGTGCAGTCATTTTGAAAAACAGTTTAACATCTCCTGAACAAGTTAAATATAGAGTTGCCATGTGACCAAGCAATTCCATTCCTAGGTATATATTCAAGAGAACTGAAAATTTTTATCCACATAGAAACTTGTATACACATTCCTTAGCAGCATTATTCATAATAGACAAAATGTGGAAACAACTGAAATGTCTGATGAATGGATTAACAAAATGTAGTATATCTATGGAATGAAACATTAATCATTCATACAAAGGGAAAATACTGACACATGCTACAGCATAGATGAACCTTGAAAACATTGTTCTAAGTGAACGAAGCCAATCACAAAAGCCCACATAATGTTTGATTTCATTATATAAAAAATGTCCAAAATAGGCAAATTCATAGAAACAGAATGTAGATTACTGGTTGGCAGGGAATGAGGAAAGGGAAAATGAGAAGTGATTGTCAACAAATATAGGGTATTTTTTAAGGTGATAAAAATGTTCTAAAATTAGATGGTGGTGATGGTTGCACAACTCAGCAGATATACTAAAAGCCAAAACATAAGCTGATTTTCATGGTATAGGAATTGTATCTCAATAAGGTTTTAAACCTACCTGAGTTTTCTAGTATAAATTGTTTATATTATAATCATCTTCAAAGTCATGTTTCTGCTGTTGAGACAAAAGGGTAAGGCAGAGTGTTTTCTTGTATCAGAAACGACCTCTCTCCACAGTCGGAATATTATGGAGGACAGCCATGCATTTGATTCTTGACTAGAGGAATTTTGTTTTTCCACATATTTGCCTTGAGAATAATAATGATAAGCTAATATTGTGAAATGCCAAGTTAGTAGTAAAGGACTATTCAAGGCAAATGCTCCCATTTTCCAAAACAAATCTGTAGACTATTAATTTAACCATCTGTG